GAACTATACTTCTGAAAACGGTTCTCTATTAACCGCTCTTTAAAGTCACACATTGGAGAGCGATTAATAAAGAACCACTCTCTAAAGTCTTTGAAGTTGTTTATAAATGAAACACGCTCAACGCATTTCTTCTTCCTAGCTAACAAAATTAGTCTCTTTTATTGTAGGTTCTATTCATCTTCTCTGCTCTCTTATATATGTTCTTTTCATATTTTTCTGTTAGCTTGGTCTCTTCATCTTCTCTCACTAACAAATTGATTTTTTTTTACATCTGTAGATACCTCTTCATTCTCTATTAACTTGCTCTCTTCATCTTTTCTACGCTAACAATTTGTTTTTTTTTTCATATCTGTAGGTACATCTTCATTCTTTTTTAGTTTTCATATTTTCTGCGCTAACAAATTAGCTTTTTTTCACATTTGTAGGTACTTCTTCATTCTTTCTTTTTTTCTTCTTCTCTTTGTTAATGATGAATCATCTATTCTCTCTTTCTTTCTTTTTTCTCTCTATTAACATTAAAAATCATTCTACTATTTTTTTTTCTGTTTGATTCATGCAGATGTAGACTATTTGGTTAACACCAAACGTATAAACTCAAGATTCAATTTTGATTTGTGATAAAAATGAAGAAAACTCACAAAGAAATCAATTTCAAATTTTGATTTAAACATAGTAATAATAAATTAATTTTACATTGTAGCAAAAAACTCAAAAAGAATTCAATTTCAAATTTCAGATTCATGGTCTACATTTATACTTTGGAAAGCGGTTCCACGTGGAACTGTTCTCTAATCTTACACTTATACTTTGGAGAGCGGTTCCGTGTAGAACCGCTCTCTAATCTTACACCTATACTTTGGAGAGTGATTCCGCGTGGAACTGCTCTCCAATCTTAACTTTTGAGAGCAGTTATTTAACCGCTCTCTTAAATATAACACATCAGATAACGCAAGATTTTAGAGTAGTTCTAAACGCTCTCTAATTTAAAACGGAACCGCTCTCAAATCTCCATTCTGGCATAGTGATGATTCGATTTATGCATTGCTCGAGAAGGGAATCAATGTGCAAATCTTTTGACTAAGATGTGTCATACGCGGAGTTTAGAGGTTGGGGAATTTGTTTCTCCTCCGCTTGAGGTGGAATCTCAAGTGTTAGTTGATGTGGTTGGTATCCCGATCCTTCAGGTGTAATTCTTTGTTTTGTTTTCTTGCCGATCCATTATAAAAAATAAAAAAAAGATTCAAATACATTTTAAGTAGATTTTGATTTATATGATTAATAAATAAGAAAACAAAGCAAATGAAAGAAAAGTTATATAGTAACGAAGACAGAAGAACACATATAAAATCAAATAGGTTCTACTAGAGGATAAGCTACCTACACATGATCACTTACCATACCTAGAAGTCCCTTATCGAACAATTAACGTCAATGTCCCACTTAAGATCCCATCAAACTTATTTGTTTGCAGTTTCTACCGTTGTAAACAATAGATAAGCAAATAAGATACTTATGTTGTTATGTCACAATGGGCTTGAAAACTCAAAATATAGTATGCGTTGTGAGTGTACCCTACTAACCTAGATTCCACTTCAACTGATAGGACATTATCAAAAGAAAAATGAAACAATCAAATGTAAATGTAAAGTGCAATTAGAATACATGTTAAGGAGAAAATATTGCAATCAAAATTATCTAACATGAGTTTTTAAAGTGAGTTATAAACACGGATCAAAGTTGAACAAATCAGTGCATCATATTAAGCTTACAATTAAAAGTAAATATTTATTTTATAACTATTACAACTATTGTTAAATTCTATAGATCTAAGATTGAGTATTTATTTCAAAAAAATATAAATATTATTAAATTTAATGATGCCAAGATTGAATCTTTATTTTAAAACTATTGCAAACAGTGTCAAGAAGAATGTGAAAATATCTCATATAAATACATATCAAAATCAAATTAAGATCAATTTATAATATTGTAAGTGAATCTTTTTTACGACTGACAATGATTAGGATTTTTTAAAATAAATTAAGAATTTTCAATAAAATGGAAAAACAAAAACTTGTATTTATCCCAATTAAATCTATCCAAGTATTCATGTCCATTTAATGATTTATGCAATAATTATTATTTGTATCTAAGAGAATTATCTAAAGATGGAAGGATAATGTCTTTAGTTCTTTGTCAAATCACATGCAAAGCAATGTAGCAATGTTTTTACCAATATTCACGTGAATGCAATACAAGAAGTCCTTCTTTCGCAGTGCCGGTAATAGTTAAGAGAACTCTTTATTAAAGTTTTTGAGTAGTGTTTAAACATTAAAATCTCATATATCTGATGTAAAGTTTACTTTTCATTTGTGAATAATAAGAAAATAACAATATTTCACTCATAATTTGACTCAGTCCAAATTTGCATCGATCAATTCTATCTATTCTACATAAAGTTAGTTAGTCATCATTGGTCAGACGCAAGGAATAATAATGTTTTACTCATAACTTGACATGGTCCAAGTTTACGGGTAGGTCCACACTCATTGGGACTAAATGCTCTGAATGTTATTAAGAATTTGAAACTTCTTAAGATCTCAATTAAAGTATCTCACATATAATTAGTCTCTAAACTAACCTTTCTATGTGTGCGACTTTATAAGTTTATATTACATTAATAGTAGTATTAAAATGCCATTAATATTATAAGAAATGAGTGGTATCTAACACCATATTGTTGTTACCTAAATAATAAATATGTCAATAGTATTTTGATATGTAAATTGTTTACGGTTAATGTTATGGTGAGTGTTAATATTTAGTTTATTTTCTTAATCTAAATGTCTAAACGACATAAAAGTTTTACTCTTGTATAGTTTGTTCTATATTTTCTTATTCTCGAGTCAACACGACAAATAATATAAATGTCTTGCGTGTTCGAGCATGACTAAGGACTGATTAACAATTCAATATAGAGGAGCTCAAAACATAACTATAAAAAGATAAATCTCATCTAATAAAACTCAGCAAATGATTTATGATATGATTAGAAATCACTTTTACGATTAACTCAATTATTAAACGTGATATTTGATAACATTAACATATACAACTTATTGTATTCAGAATCATTATGACATTAGATATAGTAACCATATACATCATTTTGTATTGTGAGAATTACTTATAATATTCATGTAATAATACGAGCATAACTACGGCTCAGAACATAACTTTAAAAATGATAAATAATTTGTAGTATGTTTAGAAATCACTTTTACAATCAACTCAATTATTAATCGTATATTTAATGACATTAAAACATAATGTTGAGAATTATAAAATTATTTATAATATCTGCATAATAATATGTAATATTTTTATGGCACGAATATGTCTAAGACAACATTTTCCTCTTAATATGTACCCATGTAAAGAAATTGATATTTTATGCCCACAACCAAAGAAATGTAATCATTAGTCAATATATATATATACTACTCTCGTCTTATCATTAGTGTTCTATTTCACAATAATACTTAACAATTTTGCATAAGGAAATAAGAATTTCTAAGCAAGTTAATAAGTAAATAAGATTCACTTTTAAGTTATATTTAATATCTTCTAACGATGACAAATCATTATTATTTTAAGAAATTTATTGTGTTAAATAAATTAATAATGCAATAAAGTGTATTACAACATATATAATAGGTCAATCTATAATATATCCTCAGAAAATATACACTAATGATTGAACTAGCATAACGAAGAGATAATTATGAGTAATTCAAGTCTCAACATGTTTTATTTATTAGGTAATGCTGACAAAAACACGAAGTTATACCTATTTATCAAAAAAAATAGTAATTAATGTATTTAAAAATACACCTTTATTTTTTTACAATTAGAAAAATATTAATTACTTTCGTAAATAAGACTAAAAATAATGTAAGGTACAAGTTAATAAAAATCATATATAATAAGTATATATATATTTATTTATTTTTATCATACCACTTTTTTTTTTTCTTTCCTGTGTTCTATTTCTTGATCTCTCAAATGTAGACACCATCAGAATTTAGAATGAGAAAATTATTTTCCTAAATTATTATCGAATTATGGCAACTCAACTATTAAGATAGAAGTGTGTGGACTAATAGATTTTAAGTTGAAATATTGATTATCTTTTATTGAATAAGTCATTTATAAACTTTTCTGAGTTGCGACATGTCTTGAATTAAATAACTATCCACTTTCCTGAACTTTTATGACATAAAGCATCACATATAAAGTTATGTTTTTGGCAACAAAGGCAAAAGCCCAAACAACCGAACTAGAATTCCCCTATTTTAGTCTGAAAAACAAAACCGAAAACAGGAATTCTCCTATTGAAGGTAACGCCAATGTGGTCACGAAAAAAGAACCACCACAGTCCACAGCCCTCGGGGGACTCTAAAACGCATGAATGCCAAGCTGTAATGTTGGTCACATTATAAGTGCACTCATCCGTAAAGGGCATCATCATAACGTTCAATGCAGTATCGAAAACATAAAATTCTCATAAATAAAAAATTGTGATATCAATCTGAATTTAAATAACTACTGATAATAACATTTTATTATATAATAAGTATTTTTTAAATAAAATTTTTGTACTTTCAAACATTTAAATTCAGTTTTTGAGAGTAAAATTAACAAAATTCATTAAAAAAAAACATATATGAACCAATACAGATCAGTTAAGATTAAATTTAAATTATTATTGAATAAAGCTTAAATTAAAAGTTAATGATTAAAAGCGTTACTCTGCAGTATGAAGCCAAAGACGGTTAGGCGCTTTTGTTTTTACATTTGTATAGTTGTTTTCCCGTTTTAGAACTCTTTGCTGGCAGGGACGCACAATTTTACTGCGCACAGTGTTTTTTGCTCGTTGTTTCCCTCTCTCACCCTTTATTCTCTCCCCGTTTTATGGTGACTGCCCTTGTAAATTTCATTATTTTTAAAATTTAATTGCTCCGTCACGTTTTTTGCTCTCTTCCTTCTTCTATTTGATTCTGTAACCAACGGAATCCACAATGCAACAACAACAACATGCACTTCATCTCCAACTTCTCTCCATTTTCTTTAATCTCCTCTTTCCGAACAGCTTCTGACCTAAACTAAATAAATACGTTTTGAGCATGGCGACGTTGATTGTTGTATTGTTTTCGAAATCCATTTCAGTTCATTTTACTGGTAATCGAATTTCTCTTTATTGTTTCATTTATTTGTTTATTTTTGTGACGAAATTCTACGTGGCTGTTAGAGTTGTGTCTACTTGCTTAGTACAATGGTGGAACTATGCGTTGCTTATTTGATGGCACTGTGATTTGTTGATTTCAGGAGGTGAATTATCGATCGCGAAGTTCAGTTAACAGTGTGTAGTTTTTGAATTTAGAGTGTGTGGTTTTGATCGTGAAGGAGGTACACTACGCTGCATGTGTGAGTGTTGAGGGGTCCTCTGCTTTGTTTTGGAGGATCCCTGTGGTAATTTGTTCGTAGCGTTTAGCGGGTGGTTGCTCTGAATTTTGCTGTGGAAATGTTTGGTTCGATAGTGGGGCCGGGTAGAGGGCATGGAAGTGGTGGAGTTGCAGGACCAATTTTGATTCCCAGGCGTTTCGTTTGGCCTCATGGAGGAAGAAGGGTGTTTCTATGTGGTTCTTTTACGAGGTAAGAACTTTAATTATTGAATTGTTTATTAGAATATTAGTTCCGTTGTAGCTGTTTGGATCTTAGTTATGCGTTACTGACCATGATAGGTGTGACTGACTGTCACTTTGGTTTCTTTTATTTATTTTTTGGCTGTTTTTTAATTTTTGTTGTTTTGTTATATATTATTTTTTAGCTGCAAGCTAAAATTAATTTAATGAGTTAACTTTTGTATAAACAGGTGGTCAGCATTTATACCTATGTCTCCTGTGGAGGGATGCCCGACTGTATTTCAAGTTATTTGCAGCATAATGCCAGGATATCATCAGGTTGTTTGGCCTCTTATGAATTTGGCAAACCTGAGGAAATAAGATACTTATGATTGAAATTTTTATATCATGTATTTATTACATAGTCAGAATGTGCCTCTTTCTCTCCTTGAAGATCAGAGTAGGGGACGAGGAGATTGCTGACACTGATCTTTTTTGCTCATTGGTTAGGAAAATTAAAAAGCATAAAGAAGGAGTGTGCTTGTAAATGAATTACTTTAAGCCTCATTGTGTGATTAAGATTTTGATATGATAGAATAGTCACAGAAACAAATAAATAACTTTCTGATGATTTTCGTCTTTCTTTAGGAATTTGCATCACTTCATAACCAAATTTTTGGGTAAAAAACTGGCATGGCCTTCATGAGGTAGAAGAGTCATCAAAACCCCTTTTTCTGCTGCAAATATAAATGAACCATTAAATGTTAATGGTTTAACTTTAAAATAGATTTTATTTTATTTTTTGTTATTTGCTTCATTCAGAATGAAGAAGTCATGTAAGAAAGCATGTTTTCTCAGAAAACATGGCCATCTAATGTAGGTTAGACTAAAAGGTGTTGTTGATGCTACCATCTTATGCTTTAAGTTTTGTGTTTTAAGCGTAATCTAGATGGCAGATTAGACTACCTTGTATCTACATTTTTAATATATGAATCTAGAGAACAGCATATTGCCTAAGTGGTACCTTATTAAACATTTCATATTCACATTTTGATTTGCATCTTTTTCCAAATCTAAAAGTTGAAGGCCTATATTAATTTTTATTTCATATTCAAATCTCTGGCATCTTCATTACATCCCCACCTTATAGATTAGACCAGTTGAGCTACAAGCTCATCATTGGGAATTAAGCCTTCTTTTGTTATTAGATTTGAAGGAGTTATATTGACTTCTGTAAAATTTTGTTTGGCCCCCCGTCCATCCCCTCCCCCCCCCCCCCCCATGTAATGACATAAAAAAACAAGATTATTAATTTTAGGATGAGAATTGATGCTTGAGCCTAGCTCAAGTAGCAAGAGCAGACTGTGATTTGGGAAGAGGTTATAAGTTCAATCACTTGTAAACCAAAGAAAAAAAAAGGTAAGATAGAGTTTTTCTATAGTGAATAAAACATGAGTTAATATAGAATATGATACTCTTGGTTTTGTATGTCAATTTTCAGTAATATACAACTCATTTGTCATCTTTCTATTCGTATTTCTTCTTTTCTTGGAAACTAACTTCCTTGTTGTGGGAGTTATAGAATTTTTTATAGCTAGATCACGGACTGTTGAAATACATGAAGAATATCTATTAGTACCTTGATTAGATCTTAGAATATTATAGAGCATCTTAGACTATCTTTAAGGATTAGTTTTCATATTTCTTTATTAATTCATGATTTGTTTCCTTATAAAGTCAATTTTATGATATAAGTTTTAGAGCTTTATGTTGTGACTTATTGTGACACATACAATACAATACACGAGAATTTTATTCAAAGTCTCTATTCTCTCAATTTCCTTACTCAATTCCTAAAACCCTATAATTTCAGCATGGAATCAATGCAGTAACATTCTCCCTGACCTGTCCCATCACTATTCCATTCTTTAGTTCTCTAAAATCCAGTGATTTTCTGTATCTAAATTGTCCTTTTGCTCTTGCTGTTCGCCATGGCAGCAAAATTTTCTGGTAGCCCCGGTTTTTTGTCTTAGATGCTGTCTGACCTTAATCTCAGTTTCTGATGCAATTTGGCCCTTGTCAATTTTTGCGCCAGTTGCAATCCATTTTGTACCCTATTCTCTCAGTTTCCTCTGTCAATTCCTAAAACCCTATAATTTCAACAAGAACATTTAGTAGATTTGGTTTTGATTACATCATTATGAATGATGAACATTCAGAAGGATTAAATAGATAACTTCTAGATTTGTTATCTAAGATGTTTTTTACATTCTGACCAGTCATAATGGCTAATTTGTTGCTAAGTTTTTAAAATAAAATCCATGTGTTTGGTACAATATTTTATGGAAAACTGAAATACTTCTAAACATCACACATGATCATTTCCGGTAATGTGCAGTACAAATTTAATGTGGATGGTGAGTGGCGGCATGATGCACAGCAGCCATTTGTAAGTGTAGACTATGGGATAGTGAATACTATTTATTTAGTGAGAGAACCAGATATTTTGCCTCCTATCATAAGTACTGAAACACCTGGTAGATCCCACATGGAGGTTGACAATGATGTCTTTGGGCATGTGGTAAGTTTTTGCTCTCCTTCCATCTTTTTCCCCCTGTACTGTTGCATATATATTTGTGCTTGGATAGTTTTCTAAACTAAGTTTTAGGTCAATGACTTTAGTTATATTTATCATTATTCTCAAAGTGGAGATTTATTTCCTTTTGGGAGCATACCCGTTTGCATTTTAGTCCATCTTGTATACATTTGTCGTCTATGAAACTGCCTAAAGTAGACATTTCTGAATTTAATTGAAGGGAAGAGAATGCTGACTTAACATTTTACAATTATAAAATTCATTACAATTTTCATCGGTTGCTGTTTTCTGAATCCACCCAAAAAAATGTGAGATTCTTCTCTGCCTGCTTGTGTGGAAGTTGATAGAATGTTTTAACATATTCATAAAACAACCATATGTGTGACAATCCAAGCTTATTAAATTACAGGAGTTAGAGATTAAGGTGAGAATCATCTACTAGTTAGAAGAAATAATGAATATCTAATTATTTTAAGTTGACTTCTTTATCTTTTTAAAAGATATAAAATCAATCATGAGTTTCACCTATTATCTAAGCTTTTGGATAATTGATATTTGGCATGGTATCAAAGCCTTTTATGACAAAGTGGTCAGGATTTCTATTCTTTACATCCTCATTTTTCAAAAGGAAAAAGTTGAATTTCTGAAAACAGTAGAGTAGGATTCACAAATAAGAGTGCTAATACCACAACTAACCCATAAATTGTTAAAGCTTATGTATTCTCAACACTTCAAGTCCAAGTTGAATTTCTTTACCTTTCTTTATTTCCTCCAGTAAGATTTCCTTTTTTATTCAGAAATAAAAAAAATGATGCTGGAAATTCTTGAATCTTATAAACATTTATATTTGCTTTGAAAGAAAATGAAAAAAAAGATCTTCCTTTGTTTTCTGTCTTTTTCTCAAAATGATGTCAGAATCAGATTTGATTCCTTGGTCTTGAAATTGTGCTACACAAAATAGAAGCAACCTTGACTTTGGGACTTTTTCAGGAACGAAATCCGAGGATTTCAGAGTCTGATCTGCAGGTCTCTCGACACCATATATCTGTATTCTTGTCTTCACATACTGCTTACGAGTTGCTTCCTGAGTCTGGCAAGGTTTGAATACATCTTCTGTTCCTTTTTTAATGCTTACATTCATAAGAGTTTCACTTTTCATGGGTGAAGCTCCTTTGCTTTAGATTTGATTTGTTGCAATTTCAGGTTATTGCCTTGGATATAACTTTACCAGTTAAACAAGCATTCCATGTTCTTTATGATGAGGTATGCTTTTTCTTCCCTCATTACACACTATCGAACAGGTGTTTATCTCACATCTGGAGAACACACCCATGCTCATGCAATGTATGCTTATCAGCATAGCTGATTTTTACCTTTTATTTATTTATATTATCACTTAATTTGCTTTCAGGGAATATCTATGGCTCCTCTATGGGATTGTAGCAAGTGTCAGTTTGTTGGAATGCTTAGTGCAATGGACTTCATTCTGATACTAAAAGAGGTTTGTAAGGAATAAATTATTTGTAACATATTCCATGCCAGCTTTTGGTTAAGTGATGAAAAATGAAAGCTGAACAACTGGTAAAAGTTTAAAATGAAATTTCTAAACTGTATATCTTCATTGAGGCCTATTTCCATGCAAAGTTGAAAGAAATAATGAGGCACGTGATAATACTTGATTAATCTCTTTTTTTTTAATTTGCAGCATACATTAATGATGCAAATTTTAAATGGATCCTGTTATCATCATTTTAGGTTAATTATCTATCATTTATGGAACTGATTCGCATAGGACTATCTATGCTCATATGAGATAACTTAAAGAGAAACTTATCATGAAGGACCTTGAATACGTGCCCTCTGGATACCCTTGACGTCTTTGGTCTTCTGGAAAAATCTTTTCTAGTTCTTCGTTTCTTCCGTCTTAGATAAGGATATGGCTTATCTGGTCTCACGAACATGCATGTTGGGATGATTGATCAATAGCTATCCTTCAGTCTCCACTGTTGGAATATTCACTATTATAATAAATAGAATGTATGTTTAACTGTAATTGTTAAGGTTACTTATTGTTAGCCAGTCATTAAGCTACTGATTAGATCCTAAGTAGATCCTTAATCTCTTCATGGATTGATTGTAATCTAGCTATATATAAGAGATCAAGTGTTTAGCCCCCATGCATATTTTTTTCACAGACAATCTTTATTTTAACATGGTATCAAAGTTGTACCATTCTTTGATCAGAGTCCTCTCCGTAGTTTCCAGCTTTTGTGTTCACAGTCAAATTCAGCCATTTGTATTTTTTTTCCTCCCTCTTATGTGTCCTTGCTCCAGTGGCAGTGTTCATTTAGATCGTTCTGGCCTCTGTTCTGGCATCTGTTCTATCCTATTTACAGCTGATGATGACCATGAAAACCCTAATTTCTGCCCATGGTGCTTTGTCTAGTCACTGGAAAATTTTCCATCAATCTTCCTGGCTGTTTTTGGTGTGTGTAGTGGCCAGACGATTTTCCCTCCTTTGATCACTTTGGTCTGCTTTCCTATGTAAGTCTGCCACTGTCAAAGCACCATAAACCAATTAATGGAACCTGTCACCACAAGAGATCAAGTTTGCAGCTCATACATAACATTTTCTCCAAAATACCCTCTGAATCAACATATATGATTTGTGGCTAACTCTTGTAGAGAAATACATGGTACATGTTTCTGTAAATTCTGTGAGTTGTCTAACATGCTTAATTTCAGCTGGGGAATCAGGGATCAAACTTGACTGAAGAACAACTTGAGACGCATACTATAGGAGAATGGAAAAAGGCAAAAGTACAGCAAAGTGGAACTGATAGTAATGGGAGCACATATCCTCGGCATTTTGTTCATGTAAGTGCACCTGAGAAGTTATGACAGAGTTTTCGTGTATAAAATTCATTTTCTAATTTCATATGTATGATGTTAACTTTTTTAGCGAAGTTAGAGGGTTGTATGCCCTGATCATATATTTGGGAATTGGGGAATTAATCAGGAATTTCACGAGATGATTGATAATAGAAAGATAGATACAGGTATGTACTAATGATTTTGGCTTACCTAAAGAACTTGTTTCTTTCAAAAAAAAAAACCTTATTTCCCTAATTTGTTTCTCAGTAGTTTATCTACAGTTTTGGCATCTTATTCTTATTTGTGTTGGGTCTTCTATGGTTCCTGTGAGGTATTCTGTCTCCTCCAGCATTCTCAATAAAAGAAACCTCCATTTTTAATTTAACTTTTAGGCTATGGTCATCCTTATGTTATGTTTTTGTCTGTACTGATGAATTCCCAGCAGTAGTTTCCATGCAGTTTTGTCCTATCAATTAGATCAGGACTCTTTGTAGTTCCTTCTCCCAATTTTGTGTTAATACTTGGGCATTTGTATTGTTAACAGTTATTTTAGCATTGTATTCTTGAAGATGTTGCTTGTTAGTTTCTTCCTGCTGCTTGTCATTTCATTTTCTATTTATCTTTTATGATTGTATAATATTTCATTCTGCTTGTGATTTATTGTGCAGGCTGGGCCCCATGAGTATCTAAAAGATGTTGCTTTAAAAATTTTGCAAAACAAGGTGGCAACAGTTCCTATTATACATTCTTCTTCAGAGGACGGTTCATTTCCTCAGCTGCTACACCTTGCTTCCCTCTCAGGAATACTAAAATGTAAGCTTCTATATTTTTTGGCTAAGCTAAAATTATTTGGAACTAAACATGGACTTGATTTTCAGGTATACGCAGGCATTTTAAGCATTCTTCTGGTTCCTTGCCCATTCTTCAGCTACCGATTGGTTCAATACCTTTAGGTACATGGATGCCAAAAATGGGGGAAACCAATAAACAGGCATTTGCAATGCTAAGGCCAAATGGTTCTCTTGGTGATGCTCTGTCCCTTTTGATTCGAGGTGATCATCCTTCTCCTTCAAAGGTCAAGTTCTTTGTTCTGGTTAGACATCGAATGATCCTTAGGTTTGTTGCTCTGGGATGTAGTTGTTTCCCCCCCTTCACAAAAGGGATTCTTTCAAAGCCTTAAATATAAAAAAAGTGTATCACGAAAGGAAGAGAACAGAAAATTGTAAGACAGATTCTGATAGGCACATATGGTGTGCTATCTCCAAACACTGAACCTGTAGAAACAAGCAGTTAGTTTGACAAAAACTGCATGATGGGACTCTCATCTGAAAATATTAGATCAGTTGTATGCTTTTGTTGATCCAAGTATCCAACATACAAAGAAAGTGGGAAGCCGTCTCTACCCAAGTATTTGCTAAATTGAAAGTGTCCTCACTTTGATACATGTGAATAATTTTTCCCCTTGCAATGGAAACTGAAAACTTTGTAATTCTTGATTTATTATATAGTAGGGTTATTCATTTGGAAGCAAAATATATTCATATATATTAATTATTCTATATCTTTTGCCATCTTAAGTTTGTTATCCTTTTACAGCTGAAGTTAGCTCAATACCAATTGTGGATAATAATGATTCGTTACTTGATATATATTCAAGAAGGTAGAAACACTCTCCTGTGTCCATTTGTATGCGTTTCAGGAGTTTATGCTTAAAAAAGGGGATGCGTGATATATATCACTATTTGCTTTTCAGTGATATTACTGCATTAGTAAAAGATAAAGCGTATGCTAGGATAAGTTTGGATGGAGTTAGTCTCCATCAGGTAATTCCTCTCTTTCTCTCTATATTTGTGGGGCTGCATTGGTTACTTATCCTGAAATATTGCATTGATGGGATGAAGCTTCAAACGATAGTGCAAAAAGACTTTGAAGAATATTGTGCAGATGACAAATGAAAAAGCTAATTAATAATGTAGTTTCGTTTTATGCCCCAACTGTTTAGATGCAAAGGTCACTGACTCACTGTATCCTTGGTTTCTGCACCTAAAACTCATTCATTCCTAACTCCCTAGCAATGATCAAATGAAATGCATGCTCTTTCATTTTAGTCTCCTAATATTCAGTTGCACATATCGCTTTGCAGTATTTGAACCCATTCTATGTAATAGAAATATGCCATTTCCAAGTGAGCCTGAGTCACATGAATATGATTAATTCAGCATTCTTCTATTGAAAATATATCTCAACATTTAGGATCTGAGCTTGAACATGTGTGGATTCTATCCTTTGAAAATATATTTTGAACATGTGCAAAGTTAAAATGAGGGGTTTTTATTGTCTGTATCGTTTGTAAATTTTCACATTTTTTTTTCATTCCTCCCATTTTCACTTCTATCAAGAATATATACCCTCATTAAACACATAGAGCTCACCCATCCATATAATTATAACAAGAATATATAACTTCTGTGAATATAGCAATTTTATTTGGTTTGATTTGTCAGAAAAAGTTGAATCTACTTATTTTGCACTTTATCTTTGCAGGCATTGCTTTTGGGACGAGATGCAAATTCTCCTTATGGGCTTCCCAATAGCCAGAGATGTCATATGTGTTTGAGGTCTGATTCATTGCACAAAGTGATGAAGCGGTTGGCTAATCCTGGTATGTCTCCTTTACCAGCACTCCATCCCCAAAGGGGTAGGGGAGAAAAAGTGAAAACCAATAAATATTTTCTTTGCTCATGAGTTTTCTTCACTTTACAGGTGTTAGACGACTTGTGGTTGTGGATGCTGGCAGCAGGCGCGTGGAAGGTATCATTACCTTAGGTGACGTGTTCAGATTCTTGTTAGGCTAGTTGGGAATATATGGCTATCATTTACATGAAGGGAATTGCAGTGGTAGCTTTTGAAGGACTTGTTCCATGAAAACTAGTTATCTCTGAGCTATGCCCTTGGCATCGTGACCTGCTTATTTTTCAGTCTCTTGTTAAATGGGTACCTTAAGCTGTGGCCCGCTTGCTTTTTTAGGATAGAAATTGTAGAGAGAAAAGTCTGTAAATTGAGGGTTCAGTTTTCTCCTTTAAACAACTTGACAATACACCGTGATTTTCTCCTTTGTGCCGGCACAAACGCAATGTTTGTGTCCTGTGCTAACAGAAATCAAGGAGGAAAGGAAAAAGACTTCAATTTCAATAGAATTAATATTTAGCCGCAAGTGGCACACCGTTGGCTGGTTGTAAGTAAAAGGTATTTTCAGTTCCATCATGATTCCAGATTTTCTTGGTAGTTGCAAGTTCATGTTGCTATACTTGCATTGTGATGAATTCCTCTTTACTTAATGCATCCCTTAGCTGGCAAATGGATAGGACCATAATGATGGGTTTAAATGAATTATTTATTTGTGATCCATTAAAACTTCTGAAAAAATTTCAGCTACTCGTGACTTGGAGTAAATATTCAATTCATCTGTTAGGATTTTTTTGTGAATAAATAAAATAATATTATTTAAAAAGGTATATGTTAATCGTTTCTTTACAAAAATTTTGCAAGAAAATATAAAAATTAAACTTCCTTTCATGATTTTTAATGTAATTTAACAATTTTCAATTAAATCTTACCATTTTCAATTTTTCAGCTAATATCCTAAGGAGCACTTCTTTGTTGCTATTTCCGATGTTCATCGTGTACAGGCTATTCATGTCGTGTAAAGATACACAACTAGAATTATCTGCAATAGCAGAATTTTAAGGTTATCATATCTATGCTTTAGTCTTTTTTGTTATTTTAAAGTTAAGTATATTAAATTATTAAATATTTATAATAGGTTTTTAAAATATACGAAAGAAATAAACCTGATTGTCTATGATTTCTTAATGAGGAGTACGAATCCAAGGGAATTGTATCAATCAAACTTGTATCAGCATAATGCTCCTGGTGATATTCACAAGAAGGAAACCAACCAAGTGGTTCAGTGTCTCATGCAATAATAGGCGGCAACCATTTAATATATATATAGAAAGTATGCGATCTATTGTGGTTGAACTCGTATTGTAGCACAGATTTACCTGATGCTCGAATCAATGTGGTGTGTTATTTAATCATTCAATAAATATCTGTTTAAATTTTATCGATTTTTCATGTATACCTCATAACTCATTGTCACATCGAAAGGGTAAATTGCCAAAGGTTATAAGTTGCTTAGAGTAGGGCTTTGTTCTTATTCCTTTTTATGCTCTAATTTCACTTAAGCGATAATTTTTTTTAAGTGGATTTTGTAAAAACTTTATTTTTCAAATCCTTAATTTTTATATGCAAAAATTGCTTGAGTCTAATATTTATTCTTCTACGAGAATGACTTTACTCTTCTTCCTTCTCATTCCCTCACCCTCAAAACCCATACTCTTCAATTTCTCACTCTCTCTTTACAATTCTCTCTCTCTTTCCCAAACTTTCGCATTCTTTTTCTCTCTTCGTATTCCAAATACACGTTACCCATGTTCAGGCCTTCTTTCTCCCACCTCACTCTTACTCTCTCCCTAGGTATGCAATTTTTACTTTTTTATAAACTTTTTATTCAAGGACCAAATTACAACTTAACAAATATTGATATTATTACTTAAATAGTAGAACAGTCAAGAAGCTCAATTGGCTTAATCTTATTCAACGCGGTTTAGGGTTGTGAGTCAAAATGTTCAATAAATTAAAAGTCTCATGAGCTAAAAACTTCAAAGGATTAGAGTTGGAGTTAGAGTTTTTATAAGCTAAATAAAATTATTAATGTATATTTCAACGATTTACTTAACTTCAAAATTATCTAACCCATAAAAATTTATCTCACTCTTGACATCAATGTGTTTCCAAAATCAAATCAAATTAAAATTAAAAAAATATAATTTTAATTTATTCATATATAACTAAATAAAAATTTTATCATAATAAAAAAAATCATATATTCTATTTTTTTCCTTCAATACATAAAGCTTTATTATTATAAAATAATAATGATATTTTTTTATATACTATTATATAAAATTTATATTTATAATTTTTAGTTAAATTTAAAAATGAATTTATAATTCATTCAAAACGTGTTAAGATTTTTTTATAAGTTTTTTTTATAAAATTTTTGTACATTATTGTTTCTTAATTATTACTTTTTGGTATAAAAATTATTTAACATGCCATTTAGTATCAATGCATGCATCTTAATAAAATGATTACTTTTTATTAATTACTATAATTAAATAAAATAATTTTATTAACTTATTTATATTAAAAATACCAAATATATTGGTAGTTAGGTAGTAAAAATTATTCTTAAAATGATATTAAATTTATTATAATGATTAAATGGTAATATTTATTTTTAATAATAATTAAAGAAATTAGTAAAAAAAGTTTAGTTCTTACATTTTAAAATTATAAATAATTTGAAATAAATGTAAAATATTTAAATAATATTTGATATGAAATGAAATGAATATACTTATTGTATCTATTTTTTTATCATTTAGACATAAATATATAATTAATCTAATTTTTTGAATCTTTTAAATTTAATATCATTTTTTATTTTATTATAAAATTATAATATTTTAAGTTTTAATTAAGTTAGTTACGATGATACAGTTGGTCCAGATAAATTCAACAAATAGTAAAGAAATGAGAAAAAATAATTTAACAATAACTTGTATTTTCTATAGTTTTTGAAATTTTTATGGGTAAACTCTCACTTTAGTCGTTGAAATATGCAACTTGACTAAAGTTAATCTTTGAAATTTAAAATTTTAATCTTTAAAATTAACAATTGTCAATCGCGTTTTCTTTTATCATTAAAAAATGTTAAAATTAAGTAATAAAGTGATGATTTGTTACGTTAAATGACATGTGACAATTTATTTTGGACACAAAATAACATCGTTTTATAATCTTTTATAAATAGTTTATTTTTTAGCAATAAAGTTCATATTTCACCTGTGTTCATGATTTCTTCTTTTCCTCTTATCGCTGCAATGGCGTTCCTTCTTTCTTTCTATTGTAATAGTCTCACTCTCCTTTTCTCTCTAGAGTTTTCTCTTTCATTCAACTCAAGACTTCATCTTTTATCTCTCATTGACAACCCAAACATCATCACTCAACCACCTTTCTCTCCACCATCATACCCATCAAAACTATCTTTAAATCCAACCTTTTGCCAACCCACACTCCTTGGATTCCATTTCCCCCTTGACCCTTCTAACATCAACCCCTCTAATTATGGGGAAGCATTATTTGACTTCAACAAAATTATCCCTTATTGTGCCTCCTTTCTCGTCCAATTTGTTTCAAACTTTTACCAAAATCTCCATATGAGACTTAGATTTGGTGGTTCAAATCACAAAGCCAAAGGAACTTTGCAACGTGAACGTCATTGCAAGAGTGACTAGAGGAAGGAAGAAGACGTCATGAAAGAAAGGCGAAGTAAAAAAATAAGGAGGGACCTTATTGACCAAAAATGTTAAATTAGGGACAAAAATGAACTATTTTTTAAAGATTATAAAATGACATCATTTTGTGTCTAGAATGAACCTATACATATTACTTAACCTGACATATCACCACTCTATTACTCATTTTTAAGGCCTCTTAACAATAAGGCTTAACGTGATTAACAATTGCTATTTTTAGGGACTAGATTTTCAAATTTAAAATTTAAGGGATTAATTTAAATGATGTTGCATATTTTAGGAACTAAAGTAAATGTTTACTCAAATTTTTATAGTGTAAGTGTATATGTAAATTTATAGACACACTTTATAAATATATATAGACTTAATTATGTTTTTGGTCTCTATAAATGTTGGTCATTTTGTGATAAGTTCCTATAAAATATTTTGTTAAGATTTAGCCCTTGTAAAGTTGAAAAATTAGGATTTAGTTTTTGTCATTAAGTATGCTAAACTGACAAACGAAATATTGTTTACTTGTATTACAATGTTATTTATTGCAATATCAATGTAAAAACTTAGTAAAATTACAAATGGAATCAACCCAAATTTGTTAAATAAGCCAAACATTATACACCACAATAAACAACCATATCACACTAAACAAAATAGTATTAACATTAGTTCATTGATGACAAATTTGGTTACATGAGTTAAGACAAATTCGAATACATATCGAAAAACTTAAGCATTACAATAGTTAAACAAAATTATACAACTGTAGTAGTCACAAACAGATTACACATGAAAAATTTGTTATCCTTTCATGGCAATATACATTAACAAAAAAACTATGGTCCATGAAACCCCAACTACGTAACACAAAATCTATCCTTTTGCCTTCTCAAATGAAAGTTTTCTTTCTAGTTTTATAATCTGACGCACATGGTCTTTAATGACTATTAGAACCTCATTTGAACACATGCATTTCACTCTCTCGAAACTCCTTCATTAGTCCATTTAAAGAAATTACAAGACTCCTTTAACAACACATCACACGCATAATGTAAGAAACAAATTTCAAAATGATGAACAATACAATATTATGTTAGTGAGAGATATTTATTACTTATTTTTCAATTCAGACATCTCCAAAATGCCCTTCAAGGATTGTTCTTACTGTTGGAGGTTAATAAGACCATTAGGCTTCAATACTGCTGATCAAGACGCTGAAACTGGTGATTTTGTTGCCATCAAATTATATTTGCAACTTTTTTCCTTCCAATTTTAGCAAAGAAGACAAGATGACGAAGTGAAGTGAAGCAAGAAACTGAGATAAGGTTTTTCACTATCTATTAAAAACACAAGACCACGAAATGAGCTTAAAAAAATAGGATTTTAACATCTCCTTCCCAACTTATTTTATTATTTTTTATTTCCTATTCCACTAGAACCCACCTCAGCAAACATGGTTTCACCTAGGCAGTGACTGAGCATCGAGATAGCCACGTGGAGTGCTGAGCTGTCTAATAGAGAGTCAGTTTACCACTTAACAGAGGAAGGGTTAATGGTAATAGTAGGAACTAAATTTTAATTTTTCAACTTTATAAGAAATAAATCCTAACAAAAATTTTTATAGAAACTTATCACAAAATAATCAATATTTATAAGGACCAAAAACATAATTAAGCAATATATTTATTATGCGTTCAAAGTTTACATCATAATTTATATATTTTATGGTGAATTTTTTAAAACAATTAACAAGAAAATTAATAAAGGTAAAAAGAAACCTATTTTAGAGAGGAACAATTTCACACATGTATTTATTTACACAATAGATAAGTAAATGTTTAAAAACATGTTAAAAATTTAATAATTATGACTCAAAAATTTAACTATTAATATTAAAATAAACATAAATTTATACGTAAATTTAATAAATTTATAAAAGTTTTATTGTCATTAATTTGTAAGATTAATTTAAATATTTAATAATAATATTTTCTTAAAAAATTAATTTTATATATTTAAAATTAATGACATTAATAGTTTTATTAATTAATAATAACATAATTTTTAATGTATTTAATTAGTTTTTGGTTGTAATGACGCTATAAGCAAACCAAAGAATAATAAAAGGAAAAGAAGAATAATTGGCAAATGCACATCAGTAACGAATGCAAATCTAAATAGGAATTTATGTTTAATTAAAATTTTAGAATGATAGATTTTGAGCATTTTCAAGATTAAGGCTAACCCATGTATATTTCCACCCAAACCCATATATTTTGGACTAATCAATTTAAGGTTAAGTTTTTGTTTTTAATTAATATAGAAGTAGGGGCAGATGAATTATTTTAGGGTTGGATAAAACTTCCTTGAATAATATATTACGATCATTAATTAATTTTTAAATAAATCTAACAGCCGTGAATTGTTAACGCACTGACGCACAACTTATATGTGCCCACTCATGATAGCCTACGCCCACTTTTTTGTTGTACTTCAGTTTGTTGATCTTCGAGAATAAATCTTAATAGTTAATTCGTTTTTGGTCCAACGAATCAGAAGTTACATGGCTCACTAAGTTTTTTTTTTTTAATTTAATATTGCTTTTGAGTTGAGTTAGAAAAGATTATTATTTGGTTGCATGAGCCTATGACGAGTTTGCAATCCAACAGATGAAGCTGAATAAAAATTGTATTTCATATAATTTAAGAAGTGCTCTAAAGACAAGTTAAGAAATAAAAAATCGTTTAGTCTTTTTTATTGACTAATAAAAAGAACATTTAAATTTTAGAATTTTTAAGATATTAAATACTCTTATTTAATAATTTTTATTTTACCACCATTTGACACAATTAAAAAGACACGGTGGTGAATTACATGATTTCTAATACCACCGTTATTATACACCCCCCCCCCCCCCCAAATCGAAAAGAAAAAAATTACAAAGTGGGCGAGGAGCTTTTATGTGATCTGAACAAATAGTTCAGCATCATATGTACAGCTACACAAGAGATCAGGGAGAAAGGGTACAAGTCAAGCAGGGATGAGAGCTAAAATCTGGGTCTTAATTCTTCCCATGCACATTTGAATTTCTCTATAAATACGAAGGTTTCGAGGACAACACGGCTGCAGGCTGGTAACGGCTGAATCTAATATCTGAGCCACATCAGCTGGAGGGTATTGCCGTTCAGTACAAGTCTGCCAAGTTAAAGAACATTAATTTTTGGTAAGTAAGATTTGTTCAACAAACTTCAATTCTTAGAAAAAAATATTCTGAAACTGAGTGAAAAACACAATCAACCAAATAAAATAAACAGAGACTAATCATAAAGAGTAATGAATACAGAATGCAATTACAAGGAGACAAAATTAAGCCAATTATTCTAATTCTATTTCTAATGCAACTGCCTACTAGGAAAGTGGAACAGATTTATTATTATGTAGTTTCCGACGACAAATGAAAACCTATGTGATGATAAAATATCTATTTAAATTGAAAGGCAGCATGAAAGCACAAAACCCAGATGAGCAGTTCAGCATTTTGTGGCCAGTAATTTAAGAGTATATCAAGGACCACATTGCTTTTGCAATCACATGGGGGAAATTACCTGTATCATGATTAATGTAGCAACACATGAAGTGATGAGCTCTGATGGAATTTCAGCATCAACTTTGTCAGAAGCATTTTGTAGCTTTGGACCACACACATCATTAAGTAAATGCTCTGTTATACAGGATGTTGAATGATTATGATGATAAAACCCGCCATTCACTTGCTCTTGGGACCTGATCATGGGTAGCTGAGACTTGGAGGCCAACTGCTGATGATTCATAGAATCCAATGCCTGTCCAATCTTCATGAAAGCATCTTCATCTTCCTTTGTCAAAGACAAAGCCTGAATTAATACCAACAAAAAGCGCCACGCCAAGAGTTCATTAGAAAGTTAGAGGTTGAATACTCGAATAATGCTCTAATGTATTCCACTACAGTCTAAAGCTATCGTTGCATCTGAATTATGTCTAATATGATCCCTTTGACATTTGTGGCTAAACTGACCACAAATGATTGCTTGCAATAACAATGCAATGCTAGATCAAGAAGAATGAGTATAATTTGCTGGGGAAAATAAACAGAAAAAGGCTCACATCACCCAAAGTGGGAGAAAACAAGTGGAAAAACCAGTTTATATAAAGTTCATGATAACTGCAAAAGCCAAGGGGTCAGAAGATCCATAAGCCACCAATACCTGAAATGCAGCATCCACCATTGCATTTGCTCTTAACCTGGATCCTTTAATAATCTCTACAACAGTTGACCCTGACTCTAGCATTACGGAACTATCCAACATACTGGAAAGGTCACCGTGAACATTGAAACTTGCTTGGGGGTTCATCCATGGCGGCAGAGAGTTTCCTGTGCAAGTATTGCGTTGCCTCAGTTGAAGCATAGTATCAGAAACCTGAAAATTATAACCCAATTAAATGCTGTTTGAAGGTATACACCGAATGTTGAAATGAGAGAAATAATGCATTGGAAGCCACATGCCTGTCCACTGGCTTCCTTTAGCTCTACAAGTACCGTGGCATAATACTTCTTGAAAGACTCAGAATCTTTGAAGCATTGTATGCCATTTTGGTTTTCCAATATGTCACTGTGTGCTTTTTGAAGCTCCATTAACAACGTATCCTGTAAGAGCAGCCCAAATAGTTGGAGCAAGAGCACAAATAACCTTGGTAAATTTACATATAGAGAAGGATGGATCCATTTAAGATTTAGAAAATACCTAAATGAAAAGGGTACATGAAAACAGAAAGTCAAAACAGTTTCAAAAAGAACTGCAACAAAAATACATTGAGTGCATAAAAAGTAAAAACCTTTTTATCCAGAGCACGCTTTAGTTCAGAAAGTGCATGTATATCAGCTTCCTTAGCTTGATGGTGCGTCACTTTACACAGTTGGGTGTATCCTGCCTGTGCACAGAGGTTATCAATGGCAGCAACCTTTGCCTGGGCAACAGCATAATTAACACTCCTTAATAAGATTTTAGTGAAATTTTGAAACAAAAACTTAAACAAAACACAATATTTCAGTGCTTCTAATTCTAACATCAAAATTCAACAGAACCACTTCAAGACCTTCCAAGGTATTCCTTAAAATGATTTAGTTGAGAAAAGCATTGGGTGGTTAAATTCATCCAGTTCATCATAGCAGTGCAAAACGAATGGGAACATATGTGAAGGTTTGTCCACTAGTTAAAACTTAAAAGACATTTAAGAAAATTTGTCAATCATTAAAGTAACATGAAGCCTTCATATTAACTGTTCAGGATTATTGTATGTTAGGATAAAAAAAATATTTAACTTGTAATGAAAAAAATTAGAGTTGTTCATGAAAATTATTTTAACACTAATCAAATCATATGTTAACACATTACAATGTCACCTTTCAAGCAGCTATTCTCATAGTCAAACTCATTCAATGAAAGTAACAATGCATGACAAAATGATTATGTAAAAAATTTTGATGCTGATAGTAGAATCAAATTAAATCCAAATCATAATATCAAGTATAGATGGAATGTATAAAATAAAGCGCTAAGCACCAAAAACATTGTTGACGCATAATATCAGTACATTGATACTTATTAGCAATCTAACCTTTCCTTGCTTTACTAAAGCACTTGAAGAGGTGTGTACCTTCACTGGTGAAGTACATGTTTCGCACCCTCCAAAACACGATTTTCCATTAATCTGTGGCTCTTTAGTCAATAGAGAGGCTTTTCTGGCACCAATCTGCCTCCTCAGAGCTTCTGGCATATTATCTAGTGGATTCAACGGCATGCAATCAATGTCCTGAACCAAAAATACCACTCATTAAAACAAGAAAATGTGACAACCCATTTTTGGACTCAACAAATATCAAGCTAATTTTTTTTCAATTGGGAGAAAAAGTATTAAGAAATTGATTGTTTATTACAGCATGTGATACATATAAATCATTTATATATTTCACAAATATTAAGCCAATTTTCTTTTAATTACACAGAGGAGCCTTGGCACGATGGTTAGAGTATCACAATGAAACTAGGTCACAAGATTGGGTCTTGAAATCAACTTCTTACAAATGCAAGGTATGGCTACCTTCTATCCACAGCAGTGGGTGTTCAAACCTTTCTCTAAACACCATGCATAGCAGGAGCTTTATAGCACAAGACAGAAATTTCTATTGTTTATTACAGCATTACAGCACATGGTATGCAGGCTTGGTTCAACTTATTTTGAGGGATTTTTTTATATATTCATGAGAACTTTTGAAAAAAAAATAAAATCCACCAAAATTAAAAAGAAACAAACATGCTAAATATACTAATTGAAACTACCTCTTCAAGAATGGCTATAATATTTAAAAAAATCAGGATGATAATAAGAGATCATATTACCATTACAAATTCAACACCTAATTCAGGACAGTCAAACTGAATCCTGCACTTGTCATAGTCAACAGTAAGCACACTACCATCGTGAATCTCTCTTGTTTTGGGGTGAAGAGCAATTACTCGTTGTCCAACATATAATGGTCTAGCCAAATCTGTTGGAAGTCCATCCCTGATACCAGTTTGCAGTTCAGTGTAATGTTTCCTCACTGATTCCCGATACTGCTCAAGTTTTAGTCTTTCTTCACGTAGAAAGTGTTCAGAAAACCTGCGGGGTTTGCCAAGGGAACTGCAGAAACGAGTACAACATTGCAATGTTAAATAGATTCTTTGTGATTACATACTTTACTGCTCACCAGGTATAGCATAAGTAACTGCATCTGAATTTCTCACCTTTTTATGACACTCCACTCAACACGAGTTAACCTTGGGATATTCCCTAGTCCGACATGATTTAAGTACTCCATGAATTCCCTTTTGGCAAACCATGGATAATCAATTGCACTATAAAACCATTCAAAAATAAACCATCTGCCAACCATACAAGATGACAAGCAACTAGAAAGCTTTTCCTGCAAGTTATAAAAAAAGAGTATTTTATTTTGGGAAAAAAAAAAACATGAAGCCTCTCAAAGCTTTAGAAGCATATAATCAATTTAAACAAATAAAAAGCCTGTACCTTGAGGGTAGAGTACTTATCAGGTTGACTTTTCAATATGTTGTCAGAAGATGTCTCTTTAGGCATGAATGCTCTCTGTAAAATCATCTTGCGTCTACTTCTTTTAGTTGGTAAACTAACTCCACTTATAAGTGGAACTTCAGCAGTTGATACTGTCAAATTTTGCTGATCACTACACAAGGAACTCTCTGATGATCTGACTATCTTCAATTGCTTTGGTAGGGTAAAAACCTGATCAATGTGTTTTCCTTTAATTATTGGTTTGTTCTCATCATCTACAGCCTACAGGAAATGCACAACAACTTTGATAAGAACACATAATAAATACATTCCAAGCATCTTTCAAGGATCTAAGATAAAACTGAAACAACTTCGCGTCTACAATAATTGGACACATTTTATAATCAGTTAAGAAAAAAAAAAAAAAAAAAAACTGGACTGGTTTCCAGCTTCACATTATTGTCATTTCATGTGTACATTCTATTTTACATCAACGAATTTCTTAGTTCTTACAATACTTACTGTACCTATCTATCAATATAAATACGGTCAGCATATTTAATGATACTGTATCAATTATGGGAGCAATCAATTCTTATGGCATCCCCTATATTGAGCAATGATAATGGGGAGAAGAAAAAACGACACTGAACTCAATGCGGTACAACCTACAACAAAATGTCACTCTAGGCCTATATCAACAGGCAAACAAAGAGAAAACTCAGTTTGGTCAATGATAGCCATTTAATTAAACCCAAAATATATTGCACTCAAACACTTCTTTGGGCTAAGATTTACAACATTTTATGAACTAACTACAACATTTTCAGGTTAGGATCACACATCCAGCAAAACCAAAAATTAAATACAATGTCCCTTTGTAACACGGATAACAAAAGTTGAGGTAAATTTTCATTGATCAAGTGACAATTTAGGTGATGTCTTAATCAGTAGAGCACTAGTCACATATGAAACCTTCCTCATGTCTTGCAGGGTGCAGGGAGGAATTTATGACAATATGGAATTAAAATATGGGCAATAAATAAGAATTAAAACTCCCATAGAATAAACCAACCAAATTTTAATGTCAAATTAGAACAGACCAGATTTACATCAAACTACAGTTAAAAACATTTGTAAACCTTTAAATAGGATACAACAAAAAAGTCCTGGAAATATTTTTTAAAACCTACAATGTTATCTGTACTACTCATGCCACGGTTGCCACCCTTCTACCACTTGTGCAAATTCTTGAATATTCATTCTAAAGGGAAAAATAATATTCTCATAACAATGAAATTTGATTCAATTCTGCAGAGATTCACACACAAACACAAATATTCCAGGTAAAAAAAAAATTCAAAGACTTGCATACCTCATTTTTCAAGGGACCACTTGGATAAGAATTGAGCTTTGCATTTGCAACCTGCAACCAAATAAAAGCTTCCCTTAACTAATTGAGTTATGGCAAATATCATTGAATAGACAAATTTGAGATGAACATAAGTTATTGGATCAGAATAATAATTGAGGAAGGAATTGCCGAAAAGATACTATGATTACTAGAATACTATATTACACAGTTCCATATAATTTAATAAGCATTCAAAATTAAATGAATTTTCTGATTAATATCTGATAATTACAAGGAAACACTATCATTAATAAATAAAAACAATTTATAAGAATAGAATGAAAAGGACAAATTTAACCCAACACAACATTGTTGAATGCCCGATTGCTACTTAAAAACTCATGAAGTGCGATCATCTGAAATTGTCCTCTTAGCTATGAAGCAAAAACATCTAAAAAAGGATCCATTTCTAACAAGAGCAAGCATAGACATCTTGCCAAGACATGTCGTGTCCATATGAATTTTCAATGCTTCAGAGCTTCCTAGTAATCAAACAAAAGATAAGGGGAGTACCACCTACTAATTAAAAGATGAGAATTTAACATGTGTCTCCACGTTATTTCAATGCAGTAGCACCACTAATCGTACTTGGCAACCTTCAGATTTGGTAGTTCAAAATTAGGCAAGAAGTAAACCAGTGAATGGTAAATACCATCACAACTAAGATCACACATCGCCATCATCACATCAGTGTCAAAATCTAAATTTTCATTTTTAAAACCATACTAGCATATATCTTATATTATTTTGTACAATGACAAATCTCTCACTGTTGCCTAGTGTATTTGCCTTAGCAGTGGAAAAACTGTTAAAAATTGATTACATATATAATTGTTTTTTTAGAAAATCAATTATACACATAAAATAATTTACTACAAATTATTTATGTCAATCCATAAGTGATTTTAAGACATATGTTTGGATTGTTTAAATATAATAGCTTTTATGTAGTAAAGTACTCAATGAGACCTGATCAGAGGGTAAAATGACATTTATTTCCAGAAGTTTTGAAATGTCTAAAGCAGTCACTTTCAGAAATGACCTTTGACAAAATTCAAAAGTGCTAAGATTTTATTTTATTTTATTCTTTTGCTGGAATGGTATGGCATGTTTGTTGACACAGAGAAGGGTGAGTGGTCCCTGCCACTACACTCCATCCAACAACCACCATAGAATACAGTCAACATTCTGGCTCTTTTTTTATGCTGTGTAGTATCATGAAAAGCTGTAATAGTTTATAAAAATTTGTGCAACAGCATTTTATTTTTTTGTATTAATCCAAGTCATTGAAAGAGAAAATTCTTTCTGGAGTAAAAAGCTCTTTGAAAAATTATATGAAACCAAACAGACTCACAATGTAAAATCTATTGGATAAGCATACAGGATCATGACTACCTTTGAAACCATAGACTTTCGCTTTCTTTTCCATGTTGCATCAGCAAAAGGAAGCTGCTCTTTTGATTCAGAGAGAGCATTAGTATCCTTTGCCAATTCCTTTCCTAGCTTAGATTTTTTGAAGGTTGAAAGCTCAATTTCAGGGACCACAGTGTGTTTAAGTTTATGTCTCTTATGGCTTGTTGATGTTGCTTCAGGTAAAGCAAACTTATCATCTTTATCAGTAGTCATTCTTTCTCGCTTCAACTGGATGGACGATTCTAGAACAGCAAGGGGGAAATCTTGAGAAGTTAATTCAAAGTTAAGATTTGAATGATAATGAGATGGTAATTTTGCAAAATCCCAAAAAAAGTGCAAATAATATGAAATAAGAAGTTAAAACTTAAAAGTGAAATTAATCACATGTCAATGCAGATGGACCAAAATCACGAAAATCAATTTCAGCTTCAGCTACGTTGTGTTGAAAGTGAAAATGCTAAAAATTGAATTTTTTTTCCAATTTGGCTGTTGCTTATGTGTGAGTGTATGTGTGTGCATAAGTGTCCTACAATTACACTATTAAATATATCAAAAACTATTCTTACCAGATTCTATTGTAGATGTTGGCATCATTAGAGATAGATCTGCCAAAGTTTGCAAAGCATTCAAGGCAAGTGTTTCATCTGTTGGATAAAGCAATTAAATATTGCGACTTCAGAGACATCTTGGAAGAAAAGGATAAACACATTCTACAGAAATCCAAGTTCACCTTGCCCATGGCAAAGGGAGGAAAAGAAACAAAAAAGTTAATGCAAACAATTTGTATCCATATCTGCAGTGACAGAATTACCTCCAAAGAAAAGTTTCTTGTTTCTATTCCTCTGATTTCTTTTAGAAAACTTTTCAAGTTTTTCATTAGTAACCTCAATATAATCCTTTTCCTTCAATGAACTAAAACTAAATCCTTCTTCAGTGCCGCTACATGCTTCTCCACCATCATCAAGCTGATGATTTCCAACATTTTCCACTCTCTCTTTCTTTCTGTAAAATTTCCCCCCCTTCTGAAGAACTTTAACAGTGCCTATGCCTTCCATATCCAACAAGGAACTATTATCTCTTGCATATTCCCCATTTTCAGCTCCCTGGCTTTCTATACTGCCTTCCAAGAACTCTTCATCTGCAGAAACATCACGAACCTTGACACGAGCTGTCTTTGACATTTGATGCTGGTTGACAAAATAGCAAAATAATTACACTTTTTGAACAATAATGTATCAAACACAAGCATTCATTCACAATGATTTCCATTAGATCCTATTTGAATGTTAATGCTTATTCACACATCCAGAGCACAAATACAAGATAATGGCAGAAAAAGCCAGTGAACAGTTAAATACCTTTCTTTCCCAACTCCGGATGGGAGAGGAGGACTTTTGCTCTATTCTTCTATATGGTGTTTGAGAAACCTGGGGAGAGCCCCCTCTTTGTGCAGCCTCAGTTAACGCCAAAGCTACAACATGAGCAACTTCATCATCATTTGCATCAACAGCAGACTTCAGGATTTTTTTATTAGGTGAAGCATAATTTTCTGTATCATCTCTCTTATAAGAGTAGCAAACTGGGACACGAGGCGTCCTTTTCCCAACAACACGAGGCTGGATCCCTGATTAATGGGAAAACTATAAATATTGCAATCACTGCAGAATAATTTGCATATTATGAAAATGATATTACAGGGAATATGAGCAAGACTAACAATTTAGAATAATCAATAATGCTAATCATATATTCTAACATGAAAAATACACAGACTCATTTTACCATGCACTAAAATTCAATGATTTAGAAAATGGGGGCAGCAAGCATTGAACACTTGGCTATAAAAGGCTATGATACCATGTCATTGATCAACTTTCATAAAAGCTTGAGTTATTAAGTTTTGCTCATGAATGAATTGTATATCTAAAAGTTGGCATTCTACCAACACAAGAATACAGTCCAAACACCTAAAATAAATCTTCAGTAAGAATACTTGTGGGAATTCTGCAGTAATAGGGGTGAGCTTTGCCAGTTTCTGTCATCCAGGGGGATAAAAACAACTTAGAAAAGGCAAACCACAAGCATGGTTCTATGGACAATGTAAAAACACAGAGAGGGAGTGGGACCACAAGGAGTACTTTACCATCAACGCGTCTCCTCTTCAATAGAGAGAGGCATCCATCACTGGAAGGAATAGACTGAGACTGAACAGGATCTTTAGAGACACAAAACCGAACCTTTTCACGCTTTCTTTTCACAGGTTTTCGAGATCCTGAGGCATCATTGCTCTCCCTTTCACTATCAGTTCCTTCCTGTCAAATTCCACTCCAAAAAATTACAGATCAGAAATACATACTCAGCCAATATAACATGTCAGGAGGAAAAAAATAGCAAAGTGTAACCAGAAACAGAAGAACTCAACTTCCCCAAAGATCAATCAGTCTCACTAAAAATAAAAATTGCAAATCCAAATGTAAGCATGAATCACATCATCTGTAATGTCACAATATTTGCTAAATAAAAAGAGACGAAAATATTGCAATATGAGAAGGGATTGCCATGGCCAATAATGAGAACAGATTTTTAATTTAGTTTCAACAGAAAAGTTTTACCCTTCTTTCTGGGTTAAAAAACTTCTCCCTAAAAGAGGTTTTGACACCAAAATAGCTGTCTACAAATTTTTTCCAGAGTAATAAATGTACTAAACACAAACTAGCTTTAACCTTACCAGCACATTGTAGTGATCAGTCATCATTGCTATGAGGCCAACAACGGAAGCTGTACCCTCTGGCAGAGACAGGTATGCCTGTAAATTACAGCAGTTTCAGTAACACTTAAAATGAAAAATCTACACAACATTAACAAGACAGTTCATGATAATTGGAAGTAAGAAATTGTAAGTAAGAAAGGACCTAAATGTGCTAATTTAGCCTAGGGTGAAATAAGTGGATTTATGGAGGCATAATTATTGCAATTTGGCAAGCATACAGCCATGGAATGATATCAAACAACCTCCCTTTTTTAAAAAATAAAACAATTACAAAGGTAGAGGGAGATTGGGAAAATGAAGAGGAAGCACAAAGGAAAAAAATCTTAGATCATTCCATGGGTAGAAATAGAACATTATTTAGTCAGTTTGTAAAAAATGCCATCTAAATATTAGCCAAATCAATTATGCAAAAATTACATGCACACAAACAAAGCCTAATTTCTTAAATAAAAGGAAGAATGCACACAATAAGCATGACATATGGCTACAGATTAGGCTATTGTAGTTTTCTTTTACCCGATTCATGCTGTAAAGAGCTTCTACCATTTCAGTGGATCTATTACGTACAACAGCAGCCACCTGGAAATGCAAATAAATCAATCAGAATGGTGAAAGATAACAAGAACTCTAAAGACAATGGTGATGAGAATTATATGAGGAAGGAAGAACAAGCTGAATTGTCCACAAATTTCCAAATGAGCAAGCAGAATGGATAGAGAAAATAACACTATAACAAAAGCACACCTTCTTCCAGTCTTTCCCGTACTTCCTATATGCTTCATAAAATCGCTCTAATTCCTCCTTGCTCCATTGAGATCCCAATTTATCAGTCAACTTTTTCTTCTGTCAAGAGGCACACGTTAACCAGGATTCAAAAATTTAAGGCTAAAACAAGAGACAAAATATTATCTGTGTTCAGTGCAAATACTGTAATGGACAAGAGCCATAAGTATGATGCATGGATACTACAAAATTGGTAATGTATCCATATCCAATATTTATATGATACATTTTCATTTTATTTTTTTCATATTCATTTTTTTATGAGTTTTCTGAATACTCACCACCCTTGAAATCATGTTATTCAAAAAATATAAGATAGAAATTCAAGACCCATTCTCTCTAACTCCCTCCCCCAAAGCATAATTTAAATCTTGTAGTCTTGTTTTCTTCAAAATTATCACACAGAATAGCAAATTATCATAAATAAATATGTATTTTATATAATACATATTGTACTCATATCTTTAAAAAAATTGTTATATTTCTGCGTATCATGGCATACCAGATACTTGAGTCCACACCTGTGCAACATAGTTTACATTTACAAGACATGAAAATTTCTCAAGTGAAATTCACAAATACTAACACCAACATTATACTTCATGTAAAACCCAAGAACTGCCTCTTTAAACTCTTTTTAAAACTATTATGAAAATATGATACCAAAGTTTCAAAACAGAAGTGCTAAGTCCTAACAGATCAAGACATACCCGTTGTTTGCTTTTACTTGAATTAACACCTGAATTAACACCATCTTTCTCAGGAGAAATATCATTTGAACTTGAAATCCGCTTATTCACACTTCTAGATTTCCTAGTAGGTGCCATTGATCTTTTCAGTATCTGAACAAAAGAAAAGACCACAATCAATGATTTTAGTTCCGTTAAAATTCAGCTAGTGAACTGATCAATAATGCATAATTGGAAGACTAGACAACACAAAAATTTCTCTTGGAATATTTAGTTAAGGTAAAAGCTAAAGTCAGTGCAAATTCTTTTGGCCTTCCTTACTCCACTTTTCCCCACAAGTTATAAAGTCCAACCATTAACATTACCTTTCCTGCATTTCACATGAATGAAAATAATTAGAGGACAGATGTTCAAGTGTTCAGCTACTTCAGAGGCTTCACAGGGATTCAGATTTTCAATGTAACAGAAACGTCAAAGCACGTAGATTCTTAGGTAGTTCCTCATATTGCTTTTTTTTTTTTAAGATATTAAAAGTAGATTAGCCCAAAACAAACATAGAAATCAGTGTAAACAGCAAACTAACAGGATAAACAGAAAATTTGCAATGCACATGAAAATTTTCCAAACTAATAGTATAAACCACAAATTTAAATCGTTATCAAGATAAACATAACCAACCAGCAGCGAAGATCTACACCTTCTAAGCAGAACTTTCCACAATCACATCGAACTTAGCAATTGACTACGAGATTCACAACATTCAAATATCCAAATAAGATGCAAACCTTTCACCCTTACCACCTCAAAATTATCTAAGAAAAAACAATAAAAAGGAACGCCAATTCAAATGCACAATAGAAGAATCAGACGACCGGCACCGAACAGCTTGATTTAGAAAAACAAAACAAAAACAACATTATTAAGAAAAACCGCAAAGATTCAATCGATAAAGGACAAATTCCTTCTAATTAACAAAAGATGACGTAAATCTTTGTCCTCTTGTTGGAATTCAAACCCTAGATTACAGATCGGAAAGTGAAACTGGTTCTGTGGCTCTCACCGCGTGTAGGGTTTATCCGATTCCCACTGAAGCACGAGAAGAACAGGAAAGAGAAGTGGCAGGGTTTACGCGCACAGAGAGAGAAAGAGAGAGGAAAAGAAAGAGGGCTTGCCGCGAAACTTAAATATAAAGAAGTCCTCTAGCCAATGAGATTTTTCGCAGTGCGCATTAACCACGAAGAAGATCGAGGAGGGAGAATAAGGATTTTGTATTATCGTATCATTTACCGTACACGTCTATGCCTCGCTCATATCAAACGGTCCACATTCTGCGCTTCATTGAGGATATAAAATTTTCGTTGTATCGGATTATATTTGAAATTTTAGAAGAGAATCCTGCTTAATGTTTCCCATCATTTTCCGTATTGGTAATATAACCCCGGTGAATTTTGCATCGTTGGTTTTTATATTCTTATCAATTTTCGTTTATAGTTAGTGTAAAAATATATATATTTCATCCTATCGCTCAACCATACGTTGTCACGAACAACTATTTGCATAAAAAATTATTAGTTAATTAAACTCTTTTATATATAAATACCATATATTTCTCAAGTGGGTAACCAGCTCAAAGCTCGGCATAATTATTACATGATTAATTGAAGAGACCTTTCTTTATTTTATTTTATTTTTGCCAAAATCAAGAATTTCCTTGACTCTTATTGTTAGGGAGACTTTCTTGAAAATAAAAAATAAAATTATCATAATTATTTTTTATCTTATTATTTTTTTAAAAATTATTTTATTTATCATTTAAAAAATTTAAGATGAACTTAATTGTTTTTTAATTATATTTTCATAAAAAAATAAAACAATGAATCATTTAATAAATAGTACAAAATAATATTATGTGATAACTTTTCTTATCTTATCATCTTTTTAGATATTTATTTTATTAATAAGCTATAATATGTTTATTACATGATATTATTTTGTCTATTTCTCTGGCATAAATTTAAAGGCTTTGTCAGTCTTAATTTTTAAAAACAAATTTAAATATTTAAAAGTGAAAAATAAATATTTAAAAAATTTATTTATTACATTAAAATTATAAAATTATAATAAATTATTTTTAATAAAATCTTATTGTTATTAGTTATTTTAACTCAATTTTAAAGATAGTTAATATTTAATAAGTCTGTATTTTGGTACACTTTTATATCTTATATTTATGTATAACCATTATTTTATTTAGATTTTATACTAATTTATATATTAATTGTACAATTTAATATTAAAAGGCATAACTGAATTTTTAGGTGCTTTATGCTTAACTTAATTGAAAAATAAGGCTTTGTACCAGTTAGCATGAGAATGCTTTGAGCCACATGCACTATTGTGCTTACTTACAAGTGTAACATGTAACACCTTATTCTCATAAATTCGTACTATATATACTATACTTTATAATTTGATGTAAAATACAAGATTTGTGTATAATAGGCTTTATTATGACTAGTTACTGAAGTTTTCGTTAACAATATATTTTTGTATAAATATTTCCATTCGGATGAGTATAAATAGTATGGCAAAAATTTAAATTCTTTATAAACAAATTCAAACATTCATAAATTAAAGGACTGTACATACATTCTATAGTCCCAGTGTAATAATTTACAAACCACTTATCCAAAATATGAGTCTCAAAATAATATTTACATCACATAAACTAATAAAAGTCTCATAACAGTCTCAAATCATGAACCAACACTGAAGATCCTTGTCCAATCCCAGATAGAGATCGCCTGAATTAGCTCTGATTTCTGTGCCAGTGATGCGCTCAAAGGTCCATCTGGACGGTCTTCCAAGAGAGTCGTGGTCATGGTAGGTGAATAGGTACGTGAGGGCTGCTGCACTCCTAACAGTACCTCAGTTAGGAGATTAGTGAAGTTTTTGGTATTAAGTCATCTCATTAGTTTAGCAAATACTTAGTTATTCCTATTAATTATCATAAACCCTCTAAAAGCCAATTCTCCTTTTTTATTGATCAAATCAGGAAAAAAAATTTCCTTTTAGAAGATAAAAACTCTTTCTTTAGTTAGCAAGATTGTTTTGGCTCAATCCTACCTCGTGAATATACCCTATTATGTAATGCAAACTACCATCATTCTTACTGCTATGTGTGATAAAATATATGGTATTTGTAAGAAATTCATTTGGGGCCTTGGGTACTAGAAAATGTCACCTTATTATTGACTGAAATAAAATCTGTAAACCAAATAATGAAGGGAAATTAGGTTTTAAAGATCTTCACATGCTTAATAAAGCTTACATAATGAAATTTTGTTGGAGGCTTTACACATCTTCAAGTGATCTCTAGATTTAGGCCCTACATAAGAAATATAAGTCTTTTGTTGATCAAGATATGGAACTTAGAAAAAATAATAAGGCCTCTCATCTTTGAAAAAGCATATCATCGATTTGGTCTCTGTTTTCTAAAAGTCTCAATTAGAGATTAGGGAATGGACTTTCAGTTAGGTTTTGGATGGATCAATGGGTTTCTAGTTGCCCTAACCTGATATCACACTCTAGGGATTTGGATATTCCTATGACCCTATTCTCTGACCAGGGAAATTAGGATAAACTTAACTCCCTACTTCCTAAACACATCTATCAAGAAATTGTCAAAGTTAATCACCCTAACCTATCTAGTGGACAAGATTCAATTTCTTGGGCCTTTTCTAGTAATGGCTCTTTTTCCATCAAATCAGCTTACCAATTAGTGTCTCATATTCCTTACCCTCAAGTCATTTGCCCTGATGTTTTTAAACATGTTTGGAAATGGGATGACCCTCCTAAAGTGACTTTTTTTCCTTTAAAAAATTTCTCATGATAGATTATTCACTAATAAAGAGAGAGCTAAAAAGGGAATGGCTGACCTTGCTACTTGTCCTAAGTGTGGAACCGCTCCTGAAACAATAATACATGTTCTGCGTGATTGTTATTATGCTATAAGTATTTGGGACCATTTCATCTTCTCTAATCAATGGGCCTGGTTTTTCTCTACAGATCTATTTGATTGGTTCTAAAAAAATTCATCCATTTCTTGTGTTAGCAGATTCTCCAGATGGCACAAACTTTTTGGTTTTATTATATGGCACTTATGGAATGATAGGAATGTTTATGTCTTCCATAATTTTTTTGTTCAGGTTCCTATTATGATGCTGAGTATACTAATTTTTGTTGTAGGAACAAACATCTATCCCTTCCCAGACTTGCCATAACTAAGCTAGGATTAGGTGGATTTCTCCTCCAATGGGACAACTGAAGTTGGACAATGATGGAACTGTTTGCTATCACCTACATGTTGCTTCTTGTGAAGGCTTCATCAGAGACTAGAAGGGTAACATTGTGGTTGGCTTTCACAGCTCTTTACCTCCTTGCTCTCCCTTGGAAGCTAAATGATAAATGTTCTAAATACTTAATCCTACATTATGATAATTGAGAGTTTTTAAACTATTCATTGATAGATATTATAATTAATCTCATTTTATTTATATTTCAGGAAAAAGGATCAAGGATTTGAAAACTTCAAAGATGTCGAGAATTGAAGAAAGAAGAACCCAGAGATATACACGGGTAGATACATGCCCGTGTATATGGTCGTGTATCTCACTGAATGCAAAGAATAAGGAAATATTCAGCCAGAGATATACAAGGGTAGATACACGTCCGTGTATATGAGCGTGTACATCATTGTTGTTGTCAAGGAATGCATCATTTGGGCCAGAGATATACACGGTCAAAGTGCATGACCATGTATATAAGCGTGTATTTTATATAAAGATTGTGAAGGCCAAGTATTACAGCCCAGAGATGTACACGGTCAGATACACGGTCGTGTACATAAGCGTGTACTTGTCAGGAAGGGTTTGAAGGACACCTATTAGAAAACAGAGAAGTACACGGCCAAAGTACATGGCCGTGTACTTGGGCGTGTATCTTTATGCGCATCAGAAATTTAACTTTTGCGAGAACCCTGGGACAATTCCTATAAAAGGAGGACTGGACTCAAACCAAAGAGTTTTTTTTTGAGACGAAAGACTCAGAGACGGCAAGAAGATGAGATCAAGCGTTCTAATTCATATCTTTTGTAATTTTAGTTTCAAGATGTTTAGGTTCTAACTTTCCTTTGAGTATCTAGATGTAATGAATCCTAATTGACTAAATTTTCTGGAATTCTTCTAATGCTATTTCATGTTCATTTCTCTTGGGTTTAATTGAGTAGTATCAATTTTCTTCTATCTTGTTTTCTTGTTTGAATTTGAGTAAAATTCTTGCATGAATTTAACATTGCTCAATTAAAAAGACTTGAATGTATTTCCAGAGATAGAAAGACGTGAGTTTTCTGTATTAGGATTAACCCTAATTATGAAATTCATAATGAACTTAATGCAACCTAGGGGTATTAATTAAGGAAGAGACTCCGATTGATCAACTGAGGGTTAGGAATCATTATCCTTGATAAATGTATTGATTTAATTTAGAATTTCCTGCAGCGATAAGGGTTTGGAACTAAGTAGTTGAAGAAGAATTTTAGTTATTTGGACATTTAGGAGGATTTACAGTCTAGATACTTGCCTATTTCCCTTGAACACCTTTAGCCATAATTTTCTATAATTTATTTTCATAAGAATATTTGTTCCTTTTTAATTTATTATTCTTTTACTTTTAGTAATTTTATTAACAAAATTTATTTTTCATATCTATTAACAATTACACAATTAAGAAAGAATTTCTTAATAACAGTCCCTGTGGATACAACACTTGTACTTAAATTTTTATAATATTACTCTGACAATGGGTACACTTCCCAGTAATTCGATTTTTACACATCACTAAACTCTAGGGCATTTACCATGGAATTCAATTAATTTTGCAACATATTGATCAGAATATCGTTTGAAACAAACTCTTAAGAGGCACTTAAAAGTATATAACATATCCATAATGTTATCCATACTTTGTTTCATGTGATTTGTAAGATCAGGAATAATATTAAACTTGTTAATTCTATTAGATTGGGCCATATATTTAGGAAAATCAATTAATGTGCTAACAGATTAGTTAAAATAGGCACGGAATCCCTTCCCCTTAGTTTGCTTTGATCATTCCTACTGGTTTGCTTCCTTCTTTGTACTAGGACATGTGTGGTATCTGGACCCCTAGGTCC